TATATATATCAATCATCAGCATCACCACTCACAAAAGATAGAACTTAACCTCTCTAAACTGAAAATCAGGATAATTGCAGAACCTATTTCATAGAATTATTGTGAAGAAAAAATAGTGTTCAGGAAACTTAGCAGAGTTCTTGATTTAAAGGCTGTTACTGTGTTCAATAATGTATATTATAACTATGGTATATCAACACTTTAATATGTTTTAATATTGGTGCAACATGATTATATACAGTTGTAAGTAGACATGGCCACTTTCATAAATTTATGGGATCAAGCCCTTCATGAAAGAGGTTAAGAAATCTCACTCCAAAGGCACAACACTTGTATCTAAGAATCCAATCCTACATGTCATTGTTAACCTACACTATGTTATAGCCCTTTTTCAGAAAGCTTCTCTAAACAATTTTAAAATTACCATCTACACCAATTTTGCTAAAACTCCAATTTTTATCTGTATGTTAATTCAGACACTTTGAAAAAGAGAAAACAAATGGTTGCATGATTACCCCTCTATTCTATTTCAGTCCTAAAAACCATTCAAAACCACTTCGAAATAAATCTTAATGTTCAAACTAATGTAAAATATATTGCATGCACATAACTTTATCAAAATAATTATTGGAACTTTCATTCATATACAGCTTTTAAACTCAATTTACTAAAATGCTGTTTCCCAAATGCATTATACAGAACCGTAGACTTTCAGTGTGTTCAAATCGATTCGGAAAGTATTGCACTCTATATGTCCTTAGAGGAATCACAATGCCATTCTCATTATAACCTACTTATCTTTATGTAGTTCGGCATGTTCCAAGTAAATCTGACTATAGGGCACTTATAAACTTTACTATAAAAACTACTAATATCCCATGCAATATCTTTTGGGAAATGAAACAATAAAAAAATTGCCAATGCTCAAATTAAAATTTATTTAAATTAAGAATACTTTATTTATACTCCAGAAGATAAAGACTAAATTACAAAGTTACCAACTACATGACACAAAAAACTTTAAATATGATACATCATAAAATTTGCTTTCCCTTCTTGTATCTTAGAAACTAAAGTTTAACAGAACAGCAAAATCAGCTTAAAGCTAATCTATGAAGTTAATTCATGTAATATGTTCTCACTTACATATCTTGCAACAGCCTTCATTATAAAGCTTTACAAGACCTTCATTCTAGGAAGAGAGAAGAAAATAAGATAGTTAAAACAATGTTCTTCCATTTCCTATTAGACTAGGAAAAAAAAAAAACCTTCCCAATATTTTTATTAAATAAAGCATAACATATCTATAGGAAAATGATTGGAATTTATTTCTAATAAGAATATCTTTGTTCTTACAGTTAAGAACAGATATTTTTGTGTAACATTAAATTATCTCTAAATTAGTAGTATGAACAAGGATACAGAAAGATTAACCTACTTAAAAGACCAAGCTTTAAATGCCATGAAATATTTCTTACCAAAATAAAATAATAATAAATAATCTAAACAGAGACTACTCTATTTTTCAACTCTGTAAAATAATCTAAACTATTAGACTAGACTGCATTTCTAAATATAATTGAATGCTAAAATGACATATCTTTCTCTTTAATATTATTGAAAAAATTTCCCTGCTTTAGAATGGCTCTTGCCTAAGGCTGAATAAATGAATAACATTTTATACATTGTCTTTGGAATTCCTACAGTGAGTTGCCGATTGCTTATAATAAATTGCTCATTGAAATCAAATGAAAGAATAATTTCTTACTCTAAAAAAATGCTTCTGTGAAATAAGATGATGCTTAAGCTTCTTTCCAGAGCTAAAATTCTATGACTTTAGTACATACTATATCTGTTTATCTAGCCTTCATCGTTAAAAAGGTGTAACTTGGAAAAGAAATCAATGAGACTCTGTTACTCTTCTACACTTAAGAATATTCTTCCATACAACAAAACAAACCAATAATGCATTTTTCATTGGATATTATTATTGCCTAAATAATTAGTAAAACTACAAAGAATCTTTAAAAATAAAAATTGCACAACTTTAAAAAATATAGCTCCCAATAGACTCTGAGAGGGTGAGGAATTGGTAGAGCAAAATTAAAAAATCAGAAATGCTGTGACTTGTGCTAAGTTCTACAATGGTCTGTGCTCAGAAAGAGTAAGGCAAATTTCTCTTAAGCATTTATTAAAAGGTGAATGACAACATGAAACTGTTTGTTTTAGGAAGATAATTGGCTAAGCTCTGATTAATTGGCTTAGTAACCCATATTGGAAAACAGTTCATATCAAGCTAATCAAATGATTTTTCAATAACTCCTTGATCTACACATAAAAACCCAGAGATAGCAAAGTCTCCATTCAGAGAGAGTCAAAATTATTTGGGACACCCTATATAACTCAATATGGCAAACAGAGGCAATTACATAGCACTTTTATTTGTGTGTGAAAAGATAACATTTACCAAAATAAATAACCCACAATAAAACACCCTAATATGTATTTTCTCAACTATATTTGATACTAGATTTTTTTATTTATAACAAAGTACAAACCATTTTGCATTCAGTCTCATTGAAAGGGGGACAGACCATACTGTAGTTCAAAATCATTGCCCCTTCATCAGTTTTAACACATTCATATGTGGTGCAATTATAGTTCCAGGTACTCCCCTCCTAAAAATAAAAGGAGAAAGTAACAATTTTTTTCTTTTTAAAATATACTAGATTTCTTAAATGAAACATTTCCTATCCCACTGAATCAAAAATCAAATCAAGAGACAGTTTCTTGTGTCATAAAGTATATCTGAAAATGTCCCCAAATTTATCTAAAATGATTATATATGTTGTTTTATAATTAGCAACAAAATATTAGAGCAAGGCCTTTGACACTTGTCCACATGAGATAATTAATTTTGTAGTAGAAAGAAGCAAATAGGTGTCTGTTTCCACTATAAAATTAATTACCTAATTTGACCAAATGTCAAAGGGTCTTGCTCTAATATTTTCTCACTAATTATAAAACAACAACTCATATTACTTGTATGCCTCCTTTCTTAAGATTTGTTTATTCTTCCTTCCACTCCCTTATAACCCCAAAATTAAAAATCTCCTTGTATGATACTGTTTATTGACTTATGGTACTAATTTTGTATACCTTACAGTTATTTTAAAATCTATACCTATTTTTAATAATTTCTTAAATATAACAACCATTAGTCTCATTCTTGATTTCAGAATTTCTACTTAAAAATAAAATCAGCTGAAAATAATTATTAGATACTTATAAGGCTGTACTTTTTGGTCTGTATTTTTATTTTAATAATCCACATTTTAAAAACCTAGTAAAACTTTGGCCTGAAGATTCCTTGGGGACCAGTAAAGACTTTTTGATGATCCTGACTACTTCTGTTTCTGTAGGTTCTATCCTGATTTATGAATAGCTTTGTGTCTTCTATGAAAAGATCTACAAGTTCAGTGTAAAAGAAGATTATTTATCAAAAATTAATTGTTCCATAGAAATTAAATTTCTGGATAACGAAAGCTTACCCTTGAGACAGCCAAAAGTGGATGATCTTGATGTATATTTATCTATACTGCATTATATGTTGTGTTTTCAGAAAAATATTATAAATATAATTTGACCTTTTATTGAAATCTCAAGTCTATCACCATGAATATTAATTATATGCACCAATGTTTCCTGAATTGCTGACATCTTTAGAGTTTATGTTGTCCTTTTACTAAAGTCCTCAAATGGCCGTATTTTTCCAAGTAGTCCCTGATTTTTTTTTCTCTCACAGAACCTATGTCTTCTTGACACTTTATAAGCTTCTATCAAGACTTCTTCTTTTAAAAAATATATCATAAGACAGAAATACTGTTAGAGTAAAACAGATAAACATTACCAACAACATTAACACTATTTAAATCAACAACATTATTTTGCATACACCTGTGAGACAGGCAATCAGTTACGGCACAAGAGGGTAGTTTTTCATGTTTCATATTAAATAAAATGTACAGGTTTGGAGAAATCAGTCTTTTTTTTTTTCAGGTATTTGACTAATCCCATGTTGGTAAGAATACCAGAAATAAGTCCTCCAGATAATTAAACTATCAATGGCGTGGGAAGGACACTTGAAGAATAGCAATAATAAACTTAAGAAGCTGGAACTACCTTCAGATAATGTAAATTATAAACAGAATTTGTGATCCTTCTAAATCTAATGACACCATTAAAGAACTGCACTAGAATCACAAAGTTCCATTTTTCTATCCGAGCGAAGGAGTGGGTCAGTCTTCAAACTTGTATAGGCTTACTATGAATAATGGGAGAATTCCGAATTACTCTTACTGTTTTTGGTGAAAAGATGCGATGTAGCAATGGGATCCCTTGGATCCTTCAATAATTGACCCTCAGGATCACCTTTTTTAAAAAATGTCAAACACTCTAAATTTTTTCTCTTTTTTACTCATTGAAATTTTCCATGTCCGAAAAACGAAATTGCTAACATCTTGAGTTTCAGATTTCTATTAAAATGCTTCATTTCAAATGAGTAAATAAAATATCACTGATCTTATCCTTTGTAATGATTAGAAATCAGCATTTCCCAAAGTCCATTCCTTACATCTGGGGGAAAAATAAAAGTGAAGATCTACAATAAAATAAGTTTGAGAAACAAGTTAAATACGTTTTTCACAACATAAATTATCAGTTACTTTAAAATGAAGAAATGTAACTGTGCCTTGTGCATTGTATATATGTTGTATATATGTGTGTATTGTGTGTGGAGGGGTGTGTTTGTGTGTGACATTTCCAAAACTTATTCGACTAAAGCACAGAGAGTTATCCTCCAAGGAACACATTTTAGGAGATAAGGAATTCATACCTCATACATAACTGATGCTCCATTTTCCATGGGAAATTTGCAGGATACATTTTTGCAGGTACCACAACAATCATAATCACTTGGAGATGGAATGTATACCTGGTGCTGCATGTAATGATAAAACAAAGTCACGTGCACAGTACCAATATTTTTAAATGAGCTAGTTCCAAAGGTGCTTCCCAAATAACTATGCTCTCTCAGATAACCTGTAGGTATTTCCAAGGTGAATTCTGAAGACTTTCAAATAATAATTGACTTTATATAGCTGAATTAGAAGTGTAGTATATGTCAGCCTTTACATCTAGCCGTCAAGATTTATCAACCAGGTGTAACAACCTCAAGTCAAGCAAGCTGTAGACAATAAGACTCCTGAAGCTCAAGGAAAAGTTACAAGCTGAATTATATATATATATATTAGACATTAATAGGTTGTTGAAGAACTATTTAAGTATATATTTTTAACCAATGGAGTATTTACTATTTCAAATTCTGGAGATGCCATTTTCGGATTCACTAACTCTCACCGGCACTACTGATTAAAAATACTTACAATGTCACATTCTTTTGAACAATTCACCATTGTAAAATTCAGAGTGTGATAGCCTATATAGTTATCTTTTTCTTCCAGACACTCCACTGTATAGCAAAAGTCCCCTTCCAAATACTTTATCATAGATTGGCCAGGATTCAACACTGATACTTCTTGAAATACACACACATCATCCTTTTCTAAGAAAAGAGAAAAAAAAAAGTCAACCAGAAAATTCTATAGTTTTTTATTCATTAGTCAGTGGAATTTTAAGTCTGCCTTTTGATTGTGATAGGCCAATTTTTTAAAAAAAAAACAATGTCTTTACCTTTATATTATTGTTAATAACCCAAGAGTTTACTTAACAATTAACGTAGCACATTTATTCCTTTACATACAATAGGAAATTGATCTGTAAAATCAATTGCTGATCATTGTTTGAACTTCCTCAAAAAGCTAGATTTTATATAGCACGTTCCAGAATGAGATTTTAGGGATGGACAGGCTACTTTCTACTCCCTCTTCCAGAGACATAACAATTGTTGTAGGTGGATGTGGACAAATGCAAAATCTAATTCAATAGTAATAGGCTACTCCATGATGAGATTGTGTGATATTTCATGGCTTTTAATTATTATTTTTAGAGGAAATTTTCAATTTTTATGCTGTTGGAAAATAAAAAGTCATGTAAATCATATTACGTGATTGAGGTAGCTGATGTGCTATTGTATCTTTTAAAATGGTATATCAAGTTAGGCTGAGATAGCAATGAAAAACTCAGCTTAGAAGCTCTTTGTGCCTCTCCAACATTGAAGTTAAGCCCCCTCTCATCTAAAAATACAAAAATTTCAAGCTGTTAAAAAAGTCTTGTTTTCTTTTAGCTTATTTATAATTAATATGAAGATTTGTTATTTCACAGAAAAAAATCAACTTTAGCCTTGCTTTGCAATGTTAATATCAATAGCAATAAAACAATGGCAAAAAATCCTCATACTTTTTGAGGTTGTCTTTTAAAAATTCAATATAGACAGTGAGTTGAAGATAGTGGTGACGGAATAATTTGGAAAAGGATAGTGAGAACAGCAGCACAACTGGAAGAATGTAATCGATATCACTGAATTGTTCATGTAGAAACTTTCAAAATGGTGTAACTCTGGCTGTGTATATTTTCACCAAAAAAAAGGTCCTCAAGGTTGAGAAGGGAGAGTGTTGACATGTCATGGGGTTGTTAACCAATGTCATAAAACAATATGTGTACTGACTGTTTAATGAGAAACTATTTATTCTGTCCTTCATCTAAAGTACAATAAAAAAAAAAGTGTTGAAAAAAAATTCAATATAGAAGAATAAAATATAGTAGCAACTTAAAAAATCTGTGATGTCTCTGTAACAAGTAGTCATTTTTCTCTCCTGTTATCAAATTTCCCAGCACATTTAGAGATAATACAAAATAGCAAATTGAAAAATAATCACAAATTTTTATATTAAAAAATTAAGTGAATCATTTAAAATGTATTATACATCTCAAAGAAAATCATTTGTAACTTATTAATAGTGAACAACAAATACCAACAATATTCATTCAAAAGTAACAAAAAACATAGTTACCACATAAATACTGTACACATCCACAGTCACTCTGAAAGTTACGGTCAATTGTAGTAAATTCTCCCTATTAGAAAGATATGGCTTATTACATGACAATGGCAGAAAAAATACACAATATAACATCTAATAAATTCCCTAGCACATAGCTAGACACATAGCAGGTACCTAATACGTCTCAATACTAAACACGCTTCAATTAACCCAATGGTCATTTAATTAATAGCCCATGGAATAAACTCACAATAAACAACACGATCATGGATCACTCAAGCACTCTAAACTTCAATTGCCTTATCTACTAAATGAGTGAAAATATATGGTCTGTCCTAGCTTTAAAATTATAGTGTTTGATTTTGAGTTTCTAGGAGACAACTGGAGGGACAAGAATGCCTGGAAACTTTCCTTGGTGGAAATGTTTCTGATCTCCTCTATGGAGATTATCCTAGGCTCTCATATCTGCATCTGAGCAAGGCTCAGCATGTAAATTAGTAGCAGAAGAGTATAGTAATAGCACAGACTCAGGGGTGGGACTGCCTTTGTGCTGACCCTAGCTCTGCTACTTACTAGTATGTGATCTAGGGAAGTTATATAACTAGTGCGTTTTTGCTTCCTTCATCTCTAAAATGGGGTAATAATTCTATCTTTTAGGATGGTTGAGAGAAATGAATGGGCCAATATATGTAAGGAGCTTACAAGGGGGCCTGGCACCCAGAAAGTGCTGTATAACCTTTAGCTGTTGTCATGACACATGCTCAAACTTTTCCATATAGGATATAATCCAGATTCCGCTAAGCAAACCTGGGTGGCGGAAACACTTAAGCACTTGACTGCCAGCTGAAAGGTTGATGGTTTGAAACTATCCAGAAGTGCCCCAGAAGCCAAGCCTGGCGATCTGCTTATGAAAGGTCACAGCCTTGGAAACACTATGGAGCAGTTTTACTCTGCACAAATGGGCTCATCATGAATCAACTTGACAGCAACTAACAACAATAGATTCCTCGAAGAAAGCTTAGGGCCAGACTTAGAGTTTCCAGAATTACAATTTAAACATAAGTTTTGCTTGGATGCTTTACTTTTCATGTAAGATATCACTAACAAAATGCATTTGATTCTTGACACAAAAATTGATGAAAATAAACTCATAGTGATATACAGAAGGCGGCTTTTCAGACAACCTAATAATAGCTATAAGTAAGTTTCTTATAATACTTTACAAGTTGCAGTTTCCTAAACATTAACTCATTTGATGTTTTTATGCCTTTTGGTCATTACATCCACCATGTATCTATCAGTTTGTTGTACTGTGAGGGCTTCTGTGTTGCTGCGATGCTGGAAGCTATGCCTCTAGTATTTCAAATACCAGCAGGGTCACCCATGGTAGACTAAGACAGACTAGGAAGAAGGACCTGGCAGTCTACCTGTAAAAAAAATTGGCCAGTGAAAACCTTATGAAAAGCAGCAGAACATTGTCTGATGTAGTGCTGGAAGATGAGCCCCTCAGGTTGGAAGGCACTCAAAATACGACCAAAGAAGAGCTGCCTCCTCAAAGTAGAGTTGACCTTAATGACATGGATGGAGTCAAGCTTTCAGGATCTTTATTTGCTTATGTGGCACAATTGAAAATGAGAAGAAACAGCTACAAACATCTATTAATAATTGGAACATGGAAGGTACAAAGTATGAATCTAGGACAATTCGAAGTCGTCAAAAATGAAATGGAACGCAAAAACATCAATATCCTAGGCATTAGTGACCTGAAAGGGGCTGGTATTGACCATTCTGAATCAGACAATCATATGATATACTATGCTGTGAATGACAAATTGAAGAGGAATGGTGTCACAAAAGTAAAAGTAAAGTATTATAATGAAATATGCAATGACCTGGAGTTAGAAAGCAAAAAGGAAAGAGCATTCTCGGCACTTTTCAAGCTGAAAGAACTAAAGAAAAAATTCAAGCCTTGAGTTGCAATACTGAAGGATTCTACAGGGAAAGTATTGAATAATGCAGAAAGCACCAAAAGAAGATGGAAGGAACTCACAGAGTCACTGTACCAAAAAGAATTGGTCGACGTTCAACCATTTCAGGAGGTAGCATATGATCAAGAACCAATGGTATTGAAGGAAGAAGTCCAAGCTGCACTGACGGCATTGGCGAAAAACAAGGCTGCAGGAATTGACAGAATACCAACTGAGATGTTTCAACAAATGAATGCAGTGCTGGAGGTGCTCACTCATCTATCCCAAGCAATGTGGAAGACAGCTCCCTAGCCAACTGAATGGAAGAGATCGGTATTTGTGCCCATTCCAAAGAAAAGTGATTCAACAGAATGTGGAAATTATAGAACCATATCATTAGGATCACAAGCAAGTAAAATTTTGCTGAAGATAATTCCAGAATGGTTGCAGCAGTACGTCGACAGGAAACTGCCAGAAATTCAAGCCAGATTCAGAAGAGGACTTGGAACAAGGGATATCGTTGCTGATGTTAGACAGAACTTGGCTGAAAGCAGAAAATACCAGAAAGATGTTTACCTGTGTTTTATTGACTATGCAAAGGCATTCGACTGCGTGGATCATAACAAATTATGGGTAACATTGCAAAGACTGACAATTCCAGAATACTTAATTGGGCTCACATGGAACCTGTACATAGACCAAGAGGCAGTCATTCTAACAGAACAAGGGGATAATGCATGGTTTAAAATCAGGAAAGTTGTGTGTCAGAGTTATATCCTTTCACCATGCAATCTGTATGCTGAGCAAATAATCCGAGAATCTGGACTATATGAATAGGAGCATGGCATCAGGATTGGAGGAAGAGTCATTAACAGCCTATGATATGAAGATGGCACAATCTTGCTTGCTGATAGTGAAGAAGACTTGAAGCACTTACTGAGAAGATCAAAGACTACAGCCTTCAGTATGGATTACACCTTAACATAAAGAAAACAAAAAATTCTCACAACCAGACCAATAAGCAGCATCATGATAAACAGGGAAAAGACTGAAGTTGTCGAAGATTTCATTTTACTTGGATCCACAATCAATGCCCATGGAAGCAGCAGTCAAGAAATCAAATGACATATTGCATTGGGCAAATTTACTGCAAAAGACCTGTCTTAGTCATCTAGTGCTGCTCTAACAGAAATACCACAAGTGGATAGCTTCAACAAAGAGAAATTTATTCTCCCACAGTCTAGCAGGTTATAAGTCCAAATTCAGGGTGTTAGCACCAGGGGAAAGCTTTCTCTCTCTGTCGGCTCTGGAGGAAGGTCCTTGTGATGCATCAGTCTTCCTGTGGTCTGGGAGCATCTCAGCACAGGAACATCAGGTCCAAAGGATGCACTCTGCTCCTGGCACTGCTTTCTTGGTGATATGAGGTTCCCATGTGTCTCTGCTCACTTCTCTCTTATATATCTCATAAGAGACTGACTTAAGACACTATCCAATCTTGTATACTCATCAGTATAACTGCCGTTAATCCATCTTATTAGACCAGAGTGATTGAATTTACAACACATAAGGAAATAATATCAGATTACAAAATGGTACACAATTATACAATACCGGGAATCACGACCCAGCCAAGTTGACAGATACTCTGGGGGGACATGATGAAATCCGTGACAAGACCTCTCTCAAGTGTTGAAAAGCAACACTTGAGTACTAAGATGTGCCTGACCCAAGCCATGATATTTTCAATCACCTCATATGCATGCAAACCTGGACAATGAATAAGGAAGACTGAAGAAGAATTGATGCATTTGAATTAAGGTACAGGCGAAGAATACTGAATATACCATGGACTGCCAGAAAACAAACAAGTCTGTCTTGGAAGAAGTACTGCCAAAGTGCTCCTTGGAAGTTAGGATGGCAAGACTTCATCTCACATACTTTGGACATGTTATCAGGAGGGACCAGTCCCTGGAGGACATTATGCTTGGTTAGATAGAGGGTCAGTAAAAAAGAGGAAGACCCTCAACAAGATGGACTGACACAGTGGCTACAACAATGTGCTCAAACATAGCAATGACTGTGATGATGGCGCAAGACCAGACAGTGTTTCACTGTGTTGTACACAGGGTCACTATGAGTCAGAACTAACTCGACAGCACCTAACAACAACAAGTCATTACACAATTTCAATGAGGTTCGAAATAAAATTTCAGGATTATGGAGTTAAAAAATAATCACAAATCAAGTTCTCCCAGTGCGTAAGCTACTCTAAAAGAATAAACAGGTGTTAGGCTCACACTGACTCGTCTAGGTCACTTACCCTCCTGTTTTATAATAGAGAAAGCCACAATGCTTCCTGTGTCCTCTCAAGCTTAGACTTAAATCCTCTATTCTTCTTTTCTATACTTATGTCCTTTGAGATCTTATTCACAGATTTAGCTACAATTTTATTCTCCTAAGTACCCAGTTTCACCAAAAGAAATATCCCCTTGCTTGTTGTACCAGTATTAAATATTACATCGAATATGATCATATTCTTTTGCCCCCAAGGTGAGCATCCCTCTCCTTCAGAATCAGTAGCAAAAGATTCATTAACTCCCTTACATTGTTTCTACTTTTTAGCTAATATGGCAGTGCTGCTATGAACATTTGTTACAAGTTTTTGCATGGACAAAAGTTTTCATTTCTTGTGGGTATATATACCTAGGAGTAGAACTGCTGGGTCATATGGTAACTGTATGGTTAACCTTTTCTGGAACTGCCAGGCTATTTTCCAAAATGGCTACACCATTTTACATTTCCACAAGCAGTGTTTGAGAGTTCCACTTTCTCCACATCCTTGCTAACATGTATTAGTATCTCTTTTTTTTTTAGCCATTCTAATGAAAGTGAAGTGGTATCTCACTGTGGTTTTACTTTGCATTTCCTTAAAAACTAGTGATTTTGAGCATCTTTTCATGTGCTTATTGGCCATTTGTATACCTTCTGTGGAGAAATGTCTTGAATATATCTATACAATAGAATATTATTCAACAATAAAAAGGAATGAAGAACTGATACATGCTACAACATGGAAAAACCTTGACAATATTATGCTAAGTGAAAGAATCCAATCACAAAATACCACATATTGTATTCTGTTATTTGAAATTTCCAGATTATGCAAATTCATGGAGACAGAAATTAGATCAGTGGTTTCCTAGGCCTAAGGTTAGGGGAAAATGTGTAGTGACTGTTAACAGGTGGGTGTAGGGTTTCTGTCCGGGGTGATAAAAATGATCTTAGTGATGGCTGTACAACTATGTGAATATACTAAAAACCATTGAATTGCATACTTTAGATGGGTCAATTGTATGATATATGAATTACATCTCAATAAAGGTGTTATTTAAAAAATAAAACAATGCAAAGGCCTAATACACTCTTTAGACTGAAATACATTTGTTGTCTATGTGAATAAACTAATGATTTTTTTTTTTTAAATCACCTTAGGTACTGAAAGAAACATTTAGGCCAGCATTCTGAATGAGTACTTAGAAGCAACAAGTACGATCAATACTTGTGTAGACCCATGAATTTAAAACTAAATCATCATACGTGGAGGGTTACATATATATATATCTGGGAAAAATGTGCAAGGATTTTGAAGCGCTACTTATGTTTTGTGTGCCTTGCAAAGTGCCAGTCATATAATAAGCACCCAATAAATGCTTGGTACTTTGAGTAATGTCAAAATTCGATTCATAATGAATATTCAGATATTGAGACTTAGGCCAGCATCTATTACAAAGTTTGGGAAGAGAGAAAAACACAGAGAAAAGAGAGTGGAGAATGGTAGAAACATATGGGGAGTGGCGGGAGGGACAGGACAAGAGAGGGGCAGACAGGAATGTGGTTACTGTTCAGGCCAAGACAGATGTTAAAAGCACCACAAAAAAAAAAAAAAAAAAAAAAGCATAGTCATACATGTAGAAAATAATCAAACAAGAGAATTTTTATGAAAGTATTTTTTAAACTTAAACATTGGCACTTTTTTAAATAAAAGCAGTGGCATTTGAAGAGAGGTTCTGTTGCTTTAAAAAGTGTCTTGTTTATTTCCCAGAGCGTAGTTGATAAAACATAGGGAAACACCTTTCTGGTATTCTCTGCTTTCAGCCAAGATCCATCTAACATCAGCAATGATAACCCTCATTCCACATCCTCTTCTGAATCTGGCTTGAATTTCTGGCAGTTCCCTGTCGATGTACTGCTGCAACCACTTTTGAATGATCTTCAGCAAAATTACACTTGCTTGTGATACTAATGATATTGTTCGATAATTTCTGCATTCTGTTAGATCACCATTCCTTGGGATGGGCACAAATATGGATCTCTTCCAGTTGGTTGGCTAGATAGCTGTCTTCCAAATTTCTTGGCATAGAAGAGTAAGCACTTCCAGCGTTGCATCCATTTGTTGAAACATCTCAATTGGTACTCCATCAATTGCTGGTGCCTTGTTTTTTGCCAATGCCTTCAGTGCAGCTTGGACTTCTGCCTTCAGTACCATAGATTCTTGATCATATGCTACCTCCTGAAACGGGTGAATGTCAACCAATTCTTTCTGGTATAGTTACTCTACGTATTCCTTCCATCTTCTTTCGATACTTCCTGCATGGTTCAATTTTTTGCCCAGAGAATCCTTTGATATTGCAACTTGAAGCTTGAATTTTTTCTTCAGTTCTTTCAGCTTGAGAAATGCCAAGTGTGTTCTTCCCTTTTGGTTTTCTAACTCCAGGTCTTGGCAGATTTCATTATAATACTTTGTCTTTTCTAGCCGCCTTTTGAAATCTTCTGTTCAGCTCTTTTACTTAATCATTTCTTCCATTGACTTTAGCTACTGTACATTCAAAAGTAAGTTTCAAAGTCTCTTCTGACATCCATTTTAGTCTTTTCTTTCTTTCTTGTTTTTCTAATTACCTTTTGCTTTTTAATGACCTGTGTTTTATTGACTACCCAAAGGCATTCAACAGTGTGGATCGTGACGAATTATGGATAACATCGTGAAGAAGGAAAATTTCAGAACACTTAATTGCGTTCATGTGGAACTTATATATATACCAACAGGCAGTTGTTTGAACAGAACAAGGTGATACTGCATGATTTAAAATCAGAAATCTCTTCACCATACTTATTCAATCCATATGCTGAGCAAATAATCTGAGAAGCTGGACTATATGAAGACAAATGTGGCATCAGGATTGGAAGAAGACTAACCAACAACCTGTGACATGCAGATGACACAACATTGCTTGCTGAAAGTGAAAAGGGCTGGAAGCACTTACTGATGAAGACTACAACTTTCCATATGGAGTAAACCTCCACATAAAGAAAACAAAAATTATTACAACAGGACCAATAAGCAAAAGCATGATAAACGGAGAAAATATTGAAGTTGTTAAGAATTTCATTTTACTTGGATCCATAATCAACACCCATGGAAGCATCAGTAAAGAAATCTAATGATATATTACACTGGGAAAATTTGCTGCAAAAGAGTCCTTTAAAGTGTTAAATAGCAAAGATGTCACTTTGAGGACTAAGGTGCACTTGACCCAAGCCATGGTATTTTAAATTGCTTCATATGCATGCAAAAGCTCGACAATGAATAAGAAAGACTGAAGAAGAATTTATGCATTTGAATTGTGGTTTTGGCAAAGAGTACTGAATATACCATGGACTGCCGGAAACACGAACAAATCTGTCTTGGAAGAAATACAGTTAGAATGCTCCTTAGAAGCAAGGATGGCAAGACTTTTTCTCACATACTTTGGACATGTTATCAGCAGGGACCAGTACCTAGAGAAGAACATTATGATTGGTAAAGTAGAAGGTCAGTGAAAAAGAGTAAGATCCTCAACAAGATGGGCTGACACAGTGACTGCAACAACGGCCTCAAACATAGCAACAATCGTGAGGATGGTACAGGACCAGGCAGCAATTCATTCTGCTGTGCCATGAGTCAGAAATAACTCAACAGCACCTAACAACAACAGCTTTGAACTAGAAATTCTGAATGATATCTCTAAGAATACACAATCTTTGAGAAGGAAAAAAAGAAAGAAAGAAAAAACTTTGTGAAAGGAAATACGTCTTCTCTGATAAGTAAGGCCAGAAATCCAGTATGTTTCTGAAGGTAATATTTAAATATAACAAAGATACATAAAGTACTATGGATCACATTTAATGGTTAAATAAGTGACACCAGAGTCATAACTATTATTTCTAAAAATTAAATCTTAGGAATTTCTTTAAGGTTTACATGTTCATGAATAACTAATATGAAGGTACAGGCAGTTACATGTTTATACCTCCTCCTCCTCTACAAAAGATACATTATCAGTGTACTTCCTTGCAGATTCATTGGGGATTCCTTTCAATATTAAGATAATTTTTCAATGTTTTGTGTCCTATTGAGATCAGTAACCCTAAGTAGATAAAAGACTAGTAGATTCAGTCTCCAGTGGTAAAAATAAGTCATTGCATTTTCTCATCTTAAATAAAATATAAAAGGTTGACTGCTCTCTTATACCAGAACAGAGTATTTTAATCTACTTCAGTATAGTGTAATTAGAATGATTCCATTAGCTCTGAGAAAAATCTGAAATGAAAGCTATAAAAGAAGAATAAACTGATTTAATAATATGACAAGTCATTCAAAATATACATTCTTACCACTTTACAAGTTGGTATAACAAGATTTTCACAGCTACATTCTAAAAGGCAAAAATAAACATATTTAGATTGATCAAAAACATTAACATAATTTAATAAAACTTTAAAATATGAAAGTTAGTTACCACAATGCCATATTGGACAACATTGACCAGATACATTTTCTTTCACAAGTTTCATATCTTCTGCACAGTTGAGTAGTGGCATAGGGCAAAGATTCGGCTCACAAACTAAATAGAAAGATTACAAGGGTAAAAGTTAACTTCGTGTTGTAATAGCCAGTTCTCATTACCCAGCATTTTGCTCAGTGCCGTTACTGATGTAGTGCATTGACTCATCTCTCCCTGGTGCTGCCTCTCCTAGCACCCAATTTCCATGTGTTGGTGAGAACAGAGCAAGTGACTCATAGGGAGGTACAACAACAGTAGTAGTGCTGGGACAGCTCTTTGGGTGAAGTGCCTTGAGGAATGGCAGGGGTGCAAGAAGAGAGAGGAAGTCAAGAGGATGTAGAATCATCTGGACATCTAGAAATTCTACAACGATAAGAAAGCAATAGCTAATCTATTTTTAGGAGACAATTATATTATCCATGAAGAGCTCTTAGATGTGTAAAAATAGTACATGTATTTAATACATATTTTCATATATAAGAATTCAGCTGCGAGCATGGTCAACATGGCAGAGTAGTTAGATGCTTCCTATATCCCTCTTACAACAAAGACCTGCAAAAACAAGTGATTTGATTCTATGTGAACATCTGGCAGCCCTGAACAAGGCAAGGTTAAGAAATCCATCTGAGTGATACGGGAGAGGAAGCCCATTTGGAAGAAGTGACGAGGGCTAGAGCCACAGTGGTGAAACTGCAGAGCCACAGCCACGCCGGTCCGTGGTGAAGCAGGCAAACAGCTGTGCTGTGCACGTGCTCGGGAAGCAGTTTCCACATCAAGAGAGACCTGGCAGCAGAGATTCTGCTTGGACACTCTGAACCAGTGAAGAGCAGCTCCCAAGAGGCTAGGATAAGTACATGCGTGCACCCTTTCATGGGGATTAAAAAAAAGCCCATTTGGGAAAAACCTCTCTCCCTTTTACCGCCTCCCTCCACGCTCTGCACCAGAAGTCTGCTGGGCCGGAAGTAGATCCCAAAAGGTACCCTGACCCATTCACCTGGCCTTGGAGAGGGAACAAATAAGCTGCTGGCTCCCCTAGGCCAGGAACACAGGGTCAGGTTGGCACAGCTCCTTTGCTGGCCACAGGTATTAGGGGTCCCAAGACTTTGAGTGCCTTACACCCCTGTATAGACTTGTGGGGACCCATCTCAACAGCGTTAGCCCTCACTGCCACAG